GACGCTACAACCCAGAAGACAGCCATCTTCATACTCGTGAAAACCTCAACTCCTACTACACCTTGCACGGTCTTGCAGGCTGATAAGTGTACTACAAGATCAAGGAATCTAAAACCCTCTGCAGGAATGAGAGCCTTGTGTTGGAAGTGGATTGTCCACTCACAGGTCACATATTTACCGGGGGTTAGATCCGTTTTCACAGGGAAGGTTACAATGATTTCCGTATTTATGAAAACAAATAACTCATTAATTCATTTCGCAATTAACACAAATGAATACCACCAAAGCTCACAAAGCCTATTTATACTGCCAGAAGTTTATACTTTATTTAGGTGTTTCAAGTTTATAATCCAAAAATGGAACGTAATTTTGCTTCGAGCTTAAAAATCTGTACTGCTCCCCCAGTATTGTCAGGGTGATTAAGTCGAGAAGAATGAGATGGGCTGGACATGTAGCGCGCATGGATGGGACAAGAGGTGAGCACCGGGTATTGGTTGGGAACCCTGAGGGGAATAGACCGCTGGAGAGACCTAGACGTAGATGGGAGGATAATCTCAGGCGGGATCTATGGGAGATAGGAGTTGAAGGAGACTGGATTTTGTTGGCCCAGGACAGGGACCGGTGGAGGGCTTTGGTTAATTCGGTGATGAACCTTCGAGTTCGGTAAGCCATCTGGTTGGTTGGGTCCACTATTTGGGAAGCCTGAGGGGAAGAGACCTCTGGAGAGACCTAGACGTAGATGGGAGGATTATCTCAGGCGGGATCTATGGGAGATAGGAGTTGAAGGAGACTGGATTTTGTTGGCCCAGGACAGGGACCGGTGGAGGGCTTTGGTTAATTCGGTGATAAACCTTCGGGTTCCGTAAGCCATCTGGTTGGTTGGGTCCACTATTTTGGAAGCCTGAGGGGAAGAGACCTCTGGAGAGACCTAGACGTAGATGGGAGGATTATCTCAGGCGGGATCTATGGGAGATAGGAGTTGAAGGAGACTGGATTTTGTTGGCCCAGGACAGGGTCCGGTTTATTCTGAGGCCGTTCTGAAACTAATTTATACCCCACGTCAGAACGCAAAAGTGTTCAGGAAACATTTGCCATCAAGACTACTGACATCACAAGAAATGTTTTCCTTTAAAGGCTGGTCTAGATACAGGATGAAGATAAATGTCTTCTGGGTTGTAGCGTCCTGTAGTCCCTGAAACGTCGGCAAACTTTCAGCAGACTACATGGCGCTACAACCCAGGAGACATCCAGCCATCTTCGTACAAGGATCACTTTTAACGCGTACTCGATAAGTCCCTGCCAATCCTAACGAAACAATCGCTTCCCTTGACTACTTGTGTACATAAAAGTTAAAAATGTTTACATATATGTGTAAAATGTACTGTCCATAAAATTCGCAACACGTATCAATTTTACAGAGCTCTAAATCAAAACAGAGATGTTTCCGGGATAATGTGCAGTTGCATTTTTCTTGTTCGTCACGTAATATATTCTGACATTTATGAAAGGGAACACAGAATAATTCTGTATACAGTAAAACATGTACGAAGATCTATGAATAAATAAATGGATTAAGAAAGAAATTTAGCAGCCATGACAGAAGAGACGGAAGGTAGTAATGTCACTGTTGATCCAAATTATGTTAAGGTCATGACAATACGCAGATGGTAAATTTTTCAGTAATTTAAACAAAATCACGTCATATACCTTAATAACCCCATCTTCAATGTCCTTCAGACGCTTGACCCCAATCCCAACAACCACCTTTCACCTACTTTCTCTATAAGTGATCAGTATTGATCCAGTTCTCCTCGAATACGTTAGTACCTCTGAATACCTTCAAGACATATCTACGCTCTTTTTTTTTTTACCCTCACTCCAATGAATTTGGAAGTAAACATCATCAGAAGTTACACAACAACAGTAATTAAGTTTTAGTTTATAAGATTATAATTTTTAACTTTTAACTTTACACCTGAAGATGGTTCAATGTAACCGAAACATGTAGTAAAAAGATGTACCAAATATGTAAATGATATTTTAATATCTTATGTATAAATTTTATTTATATACAATTGTGATTAGACGGGAAAAAAACACGAATAATTACGTCAAACAGTTAGTTGATCTAAGTATAAGGAACGGAGAATGAGAAAGGAGTTCAGAGAGTATTAAAAAATATAAAAAAAGACTCTAGATCTGCGAAAGAATATCGCGTGCAGCTGCTACAAATGAATCAATGAAGGGAGTCAGATCAGATCGTGTGTGTCACACCCATTTATGCTAATAAACAAACGACTGTCAAATCGTAGTTAAGCGAAACAAAGGACGACAGAAATTAAATGAAGCTTAGACACTAATAAAAATCACTTTTTATGTGTAGTTATTTCCATGATAAGGGCAGTGTACTGGAGCCAAGCAGGCTGCAACCGAGAGACAGAGACCGCGAACAGAAACATATATAAGAGGTTGACAGAAGGCATCGCCTCATTACAGACGAAACAACAGCGAAGCAGGAAGGGATTAAAACCTCAGTGTTGTGATAACTTAAACGCGCTAAAATATCTTTTCATTGCCGTCAGTTACAGCGGACAAAGAAAACTGTTCACGACAGAACAAATATCTAAAAAAAAAAAAAAGTATTTCACGTTCCTCAAAACGAGTACGAGAAGAAAAACGCGATTGGCCGAGGTAAGTAAAAAACAAAAATTAACACAACTTGGGAAATTTTATGCCGATAAGTACGCATTTTATCTAAGGTTTCGGAAATTTCATTCTGCCACGTTCTCGATACTCTGTTATTGCAGATACAAATAATCACGTTCGTCTCGTGTCTTTTGTCGTCTTGTGATGATCTACTGTTACTGAAATGAGACTTTTTAACCCATACCGAATATATCTATTCAGGAATAAAGCAATATAATACACTTCCTTTGTTTACAGACCTAAAACGACAGGAATATGTATATTTTTACAAAACGATGTTTTTTTTTGGTTTGGAAATAACAATTAACAACTCCATGTAACGGAGACTTCCTTCAGAAGATCAGCTAAAGACATTCCTCGTCTTTTATGGAACCGTGGTCATAAGATCTCGTAACTGACAGACGAAACCAATCCACACCTTACAACCATTTTAATATTATTCTCCCATCTAAGCTCAGGTCAACAAAAATACATTACATCTGTATTTTTTCTTCAATATCATTTTACGCTGAATCCTTATGACAGACCCCAAGTGCTAGAAATGTTACCATATTGTTTATGGACGCATGTTTCCGTGTCATTTCTCACAAAAGATGTGAAAATGTTACAAATAAATATTACAGGCTTTCAAGACGTCTATATTTAATAAATATTTTATAGGCCACACAAAGTTTCCTTGCTGTAAGCAGCTTTTGAGAAAATTTATAATATTCCAAATGAAATTCATGAAGGCCTCAATAGGCCTTCATGAATTTCATTTACGAACCAAAATCAAATTATCGCAACTTCCGACGCACAACACCAGAACCAACTTTAACTGAAACCCGTAAAATAGTTTTTAAGCAAAGACAGTGGACATGAAACCGAAGTACACAACGCAAGTTGCAGGAAGTGACGAAATAGGTTTCCTTTAAAGAAAGTCGAAACTCCATCACACACGTTCGAACGATAAAAAAACAAAAACATTCAGACTGAATCGGGCAGGTATAAGCTTCGAACTCAGGACAACTTCGGAAGTTCCTCTACCCTATCACGTGGAGCTCAGCATACACTCACACATTATTCAGTAAGCTTCACGCTGCAGCCCTCTTTAAAGCCAGGAACAGAAACGATAGTGGTCCTCAAAACAGTTGAAGACGACGGCCTTGTGGGATGAGACGCCGAGCAGCGTCGTAGACACTAGAACGACGCCGTCAGTCACTTTCCACGAGACTGAGAGGTGGAACATCCTAAAATACAGTCGTCCTCATACCGGCGCCAAGAACCTCAAAGCAATTTCTCACATGAAGAAGATAAAGTAGGTTTCATTTCATATTGTAGCAAAATAATATTTTTTTTAATATGGCTGAAGAAATATTCATTTTAATGAGTTCTGACTATGGCATATTACAGTCTGGATTAATTTTTTTTTTTTTGGATTTTGTCCATCGTCTGATATGTAATACCACCCTTCAAATCTTTCTATCTGAATGAACAGTGTAACAAAAAATTACTTTCCTTGTTAGTGACGTAGGGCAAATATTTATACAATTTTGTAACGTATGTTACAGGACACGTATCCCGCTCCATTCATAAAACACAGAGTAATTCGTACTGTACGTTCAACAAAATTCGAAAAAAAGATCCATTTTGCAAATAAACTCTTATTTATAAGGATGGAATTTCACAACAGACATAAAAATGGCGTTTAATTTGGACTAAAAATCTCAAATCTCGTTTAAAAAACGGGTACTTCAGTTTGTTAGTAACACGAAATCAAAAGTCAAGGAGTGAAAGCTATAAGCATGACCATCTCTGCGTAACAAATTCCTTTTAACCCGGTAACATTTTCAGTACAGCAGTTCTGAGTAAAAGCTAAATGCGAGGTAATCCACAGTAATTAATCTGGCTCCGTTGTTATTTGTGCTCAGTATTTCAACGAGTGCAGGAGTTCTGGAGTGACATCCACACATGAAAATTTCGCATTATTTCATCTCTGTAAATTTCCATTCGACATTTAAAACAATTTAAGTTCGTTTTTTTGTATCTTATATGCGTCATGTTTGTGTTTGATTAAATATATTTATTTTGTACAGTCTATACACAAACGTTTGAAGTTTATTGGTGTTGTAAAAAATTATATAATATTAAAACATTTTGTTGTGTAAAATATTATATTATATATCGTTTACTATTTTTAATAGATATTTATACGATTATTTATTTATTTCCTATGTCAATTCATACTCATTCCAAGAAAATAATTAAACATTAATTCCACAGATAAATATAACGTCTGACTACAATAAACAACTTACCATGAAAATGGAAAGCTACAAACAGAACTACGGATCATTATAATATATTGCATCAAATATCTAATAGTTTTTAAAATATTTTAAATTGATAAAAAAACCTGAAGACGACGGTATTACCCGTCGAAACATGTCGTTTTAATAAAAGCGCTAAAAAAATATAATGTAAAATCGTATTTACGATTAAGAGCGCTAATATAATATTTTACACAATAAAATGTTTTAATATTATATAATTTTTACAACACCAATAAACTTCAAACGTTTGTGTATAGACTGTACAAAATAAATATATTTAAGTTCGTTTGTTGCTAAAACTCCCATGAAATACAGCCGATTATCCGGGTTGCCTGTGTTTTCCAGCATAATAAAACCCCCGAATAATTCGCAAAAATAAAATAAAAAACATGCAAATGTAACAAACACACACGTTTATCTACAGACATACACTACTTAAATTTAGGGAGTTTTACTAATAACAGGAAGGATGTTATATAAAATTTAATACAGTACATACCAACCATTTTTAAGGGGATTCCAATTGATAGTAAAGACGTTCTACTGTCGAAAACTTTAGCAACGATTTATTTATGATAATATGCTAAATAACGTGGCATTCTTATAGATATTCCTTCCTTTTTCAACGTTATTTTACATTTTTTTAAAAAAAAATTAAGTTCTATTTTCATTTAAACCAGACAGACCCCAATTAATCAGCTTCCAGATAAACGGGAGTCAACTGTGTTTACAAAATAAAGGGACTATGGATCTTACTGAAACTAATCAATGTTCCTTGCTAAAAATTCGGGCTTTTTCTTGTTTCAGTAACTATTTCTGGAAAACTGTTCACTATGAGCCAACTTTTTCCGCAAGGACTTTTCTATACACTTTAACATGTGGCGTACAGTTATACGAAATCTAACTTCACCTGTGACATTCCATGGTATATGTAACTATATTACGTTTTATCAATAAATCCAAAATCTTCCATCAGTCGAGAACTGTTGAAATCGCGTTAGGAATTGCCGTAGAAGTACTGACGATCCTGAAACCCTAACGTGACACTAATTCAAGTTAAGGAATCGTACTGATTCGCGTCTATTATACCACTTACAACTCCAACAAGCAATGCTGAACTAAGGATGCAGATGGCTGTCTTCTGGGTCGGTAAACATCGTTCAACAACCTAGAAGACAGCCATCTTCAGACTCACCGACGCGAAAACCTCAAATTCCACAATGTTTAACTAAGTATATATTTAAATAGTATTAAAAATATATTAAAATTGGCTCCAATCTCTCCTAATACTGCTACGATATTACTTCTTGGTCCAGTATACACAACATTGGCATCACTACGAAATACAATCATATTAGTGACATGTGACACAACAACGGATGAAGATACAATATGAAGGACGTGAACATCATAAGAAAAATGAAAACTAAAAATCATTAAAAATCAGTAATTCAGTTAAAAAGTTTATAACATAACACCTGATGACGGCTATATATAGCCGAAACATGTCGTAAATGTTCCACATGTAAATCGAGTACTCGATACGGAACGTAAAATGATATTTTAATCTTTTAATTATCTTATATTGTGATTGACGGCCAATTTTAATATATTTTTAATACTATTTAAATAAATCACAATATGACGCACCTACAATATCTTAAGTATATACTGTTTTTGTTTGTTTGTCGTCAGTCTTTCGACTGGTTTGATGTGGTCCTCCATTTTCGCCTATCTTGCGCCAATCTCTTCATTTCCACATATTTTCTACAGCCCACATCCTCAAAAATCTACATCACATGTTCCAATCTTTGTCTCCCCTTACAATTCTTCCCTTCAACTGTTCCTTCCATTACCAAATTAACCAATCCTGGATGCCTCCTATCTCTTCTTCTCGTAAGATTTTTCCTTCGCCTATCCTGTCTAAGACCAGCTCATTCCGTACTTCATCAGTCCACTTAATGTTCAACATCCTTCTATAGCACCACATTTCAAATGTTTCTAACCTCATTCTTTCTGGCTTCCCCATTGACCATGTTTTCCTTCCGTATAGCGCTATATATTACAGATAATTTAATCAGAAGAACAGATAATCTTTCCTGACGTGGACATCACGTTCATCCTAAAGCGTAATGTGGCTGTTCACTTTGTTATTATGTCTGTTTTATTACGCATTCAGTGACACCGAATTTATATGTACCTACATATAAATCCTTGCCCTATAAGAATGCAGGAGACAAATCATAATACATGCTGAATAAAACTATCAATTATGAAGCTGAGTGTAACGTGAGAGTAAACATCGGCACATCGACTGCGGAACACTGTTCCAGAACGTGTTTATCCTCCAAAAACACGGCTCTGTAAGCCCACACAATGCAACACACGCACACAATTTGAATTTCTTTCTAAATTACATGTCAAAATTCATTTAAAATGGACGCTGGTGGTACGTATTAGTCGGCCCAAAGACTTCATTTATTTTTATTTAGTGTTCTGTCTGACGACAGGTCCATATGAACAGGATCCTTCCATCCTTCTCTCGGACTGGGACCTGTTCATATACGTTCTTGGCAGATGATTCAGAAGTGGTTTGCCATTGCCTTCTTCTGTGTGTGAATGGAGTAATTGTTGGGATGCCACGGAGGAAAACTCCGTGTTGCCTAGACCACG